AACGCAACATCCGATGGCTTAAAGGAGTAATATATCTGTGTATCATCCGCATAGAGATGATAGCGACAGGTACGAATGTACTTTTGAATATTGAGTGTATATATCGAGTACAGCAGTGGACCAAGCACTGAGCCTTGGGGCACGCCCGATTTCACATTTAAGATGTTGGATCGACTGCCCCCAAACAACACACTCTGTGTACGATCTCGCAAATAATCGTCCATCAACTGAACACCACACCGGCTCATCCCAACATAATGAAGCATACATAACAGCAACCTATGATCGATCATATCAAAAGCCTTTGAAAAATCTAAAAGCACAAGCACTGTAGTTAATCCCGCATCCCTAGCCGTAACAATGTCATCCATAACGTTTGCCAGCGCAGTGGCACAACTGTAGCCAGATCTAAAACCTGACTGCAAATCGGGCAAGATTTTAAACTGATTTAGGTGACTCGTCAATTGTGATGCCAGTATCTTTTCCAGTACCTTAGACAGAACTGGAAGAACCGATACGGGTCTAATATCATTTAAAGTGTGAGGACCAGATTTTTTGGGTAGTGGTACAACCAGCGAACTTTTCCATTTATCTGGAAATACCGAGTCAATTATACATGAATTAATCACGTGTGTGATGTAGGGCAGTAAAACAGGTAGACATAGTTTAATCATTTGTAAGCTTACACCGTCAGACCCGACAGAATTAGTTTTAATAGTCAGTAAAGCCTTCATTACATCACTCTCCTCAACTGCAGAAAAATTCATAGCTAAGTCGCCGGTCACACCACAAACAAAATTTGAAGTGTAGTAGTTATAAATTTCATCTGGTGGAGATGCGAGTTGTATCGAATTAATGAAATGATCGTTAATAGTATCAGCATTAATTGTTTGATCAGATAAATTGATTGATATGTTCTTCCTACCAACCCTCAAATTTTTCAAAGTATTCCATGTTTCTTTGGGCGATTTTGTACGCAAACAATAATCAAGATATGCCCTTTTTTCACTTTTAATAGCAGTAGCTATCAAAGCGGTCTTACATGAGTGTATCAGAATAATAAATTTTATTAAAAATAGGGCGCTAAATACGCGGCTTTTCTCACAATTATTCAAAGAAATGGGAAGCAATCACTATGGCACTGCTAATGCATACAAATGTAAGGTGGCTTTTGAACGGCAAAGCACTGGGTCGACTTTGGGAATTACCTAAAGAAGTTAATGTATTCTTAATGGAAGAACGTTTCCAATCCCATCGCTTTAAATAATTCTACATTTCTTATCAAACGCCTACTTATCTTACATCTTTACTCATCTCAATGATTTGAATGTAAAATTACAAGGTGCAAATGTAAATTGTTTCCAGGTAGAAGACAAGATTGAAGCAACTATTTTGAAACTGGAATTATGGGAGAGTCGACTTAAAGGCGGAAATGTTAAATCATTTCAAAACTTGTCGACATATTTACATGTCTGAAGATAGACTTCCAAATGAGGAAGCACAACTAATCTAAGAAGACGTGATAGAAAAAATTTTCGAATTTTGTTGTACTTTTAGTGGTTTATTTATATTTTTGTTGTCTATGTGTATCACATATTTAAATTTCACTTATTAATTAAAAATTGTTAATTCTTGTAGTTGTCTCTGATGATGGCTTTTTGCCGAAACTAGTTAGACAACAAAAATATAAATAAACCAGTAAAAGTACAACAAAATTCGAAAATTTTTTCTATCACGTTAAACAAATTGGTATAATGGATATTAACTTCAATTTCAACCTAATAATCTAAGAAGCACCTTCAGAGAATATTTTCTACTTCCTGACAGAAGTAAGGCATGGATTCGCAATCCGTTTATTATAAAAGATTATATGGATATGGAGGTCAAGGAAGCAGATTTTATTGACTTAGTTACCAATGGAGAGCTTCAAATTTTCAAGGGGTTTAATTTTTTTATTTAGTATAGGCCAACAAACGATTTTGGGAATTGCTGTATTAGACTATAAAAATTCTTATAGTAACAAAAAAAAACTAAACTTATCTTGAATTTACACAACCAACTTCTTGAAGATTAGACTATTTTGGAAATTATAAGTATAATTTNTATAAATTTCATCTGGTGGAGATGCGAGTTGTATCGAATTAATGAAATGATCGTTAATAGTATCAGCATTAATTGTTTGATCAGATAAATTGATTGATATGTTCTTCCTACCAAATTTCTCAAAGTATTCCACGTTTCTTTGGGCGATTTTGTACGCAAACAATAATCGAGATATGCCCTTTTTTCACTTTTAATAGCAGTAGCTGTCAACTTTGGGAATTACGTAAAGAAGTTAATGTATTCTTAATTGAAGAACAACGTTTTCAATGCCATCGCTTTAAATAATTCTACATTTCTTATCAAACTGGCTTACTTATCCTACATCTCTACTCATCTCAATGATTTGAATGTAAAATTACAAGGTGCAAATGTAAATTGTTTCCAGGTAAAAGACAAGATTGAAGCAACTATTTTGAAACTGGAATTATGGGAGAATCGACTTAAAAGCGGAAATGTGAAATCATTTCAAAACTTGTCGACATTGTTACATGTCTGAAGATACACTTCTAAATGAGGAAGCACAACTAATCTAAGAAGCACCTTCAGAAAATATTTTCCACTTGACAGAATTTTTCCCTGACAGAAGTAAGGCATGGATTTGCAATCCGTTTATTATAAAAGATTATATGGATATGGAGGTCAAGGAAGCAGATTTTATTGACTTAGTTACCAATGGAGAGCTTCAAATTCTGAGTCTGATTTCTGGGCTTACGTTTTCAATGAATCGCCGAATTTAGGAAACAATCTTTGTGAACAAATTTTTCGTCTTTACTTCTAGGTTTATTAATTTGTCCAGGGGTTTAATTTTTTTATTTAGTATAGGCCAACAAACGATTTTATTAGGTCCATAGTTAAATCTAATTGGGAATTGTTGTATTAGACTATAAAAATTCTTATAGTAACAAAAAAAAAACTAAACTTATCTTGAATTTACACAACTAACTTCTTGAAGATTAGACTATTTTGGAAATTATAAGTATAATTTATAATTTTTATTTACCTGAATAATAAAATTTGTTCTGCAGTTTTAACTCCAATAGTATGTAAAGTCATCACAGCCTTCAAAGAACCTTCATTTAATATTTCCAAAATATGATCACAATGATTTTCAACTTTTTGCTTTTTAATAACTTTCATAGACCTATCACTTACACCCTTCCTTGACTTATTAGTTTTATTAACACTCTTTTTATTTGATTTATGTACATCACCAACAGTTAAACGAACAGTTTGTCTTTTTATTCTTGTACTTTTCCTTAGACTGACAGACATAATCGAAGAAATGTTACTTGTAGTAATTTCACTACTTTCCATAGATAATCTAGATTCAAATTGATTATCCGTACTGAGTGTTTTGGCAAATTCATTATATTCGTTGGTTGTATTAGGGGAAGAGGTTTTTTTAAGTTTTGAAGCATTTCTTGTCTTCATAGTATTTGGTAAAAGTGGAACTTTAAAAATATTTGGTGAAGAAGAATTTTTAATATCCTCATTATTTTGTTTAAGATCATCAAAAATAATTTTTTCCATTGCAGATGTCGGATTATTACTTTTATTAGTTATAGTTTTTAAAGGCACACTTTTAGAATCATCAGATTTGAATTGTTTTAAACAACTTTGCTGATTTTCATCACTATAATCATCATATTTTCGATGAAAACTAGAAATTCTAAACCAAAAAATTATGTAACAATTAAAATTAAAGAAAAGAAAATTACCTTGTTGATCTTCTTAAGGGAGTTTGTGTTTTCATTAAATTATTTATTGTAGAAACCAATTTAGATTCAATTTCAGCTACACATCTTCTCACAATTGGACTAATATTAATTGCTTGATCCTCTACATTATCCAAATTGTAAGTAAATTTTGGTGGTAATGGAACACGTATTGGTTTTTTTAAAGCTGTAGAAGTCTGAATTGGGCCAAAAGCTTTCATTGGTGTTAAATATTGTGATGACTTTTTCTATAAAAAAAATTACAATGTTATATTTTTCTAAGAAAATTCTAATCAAGATTAAAGCAACTTACAATTGAAGTATTAATCATAGAAAAAGCTTCAGGCTTATTACCAATTCTTTTAACCCTTTTTGCAAAATCTAAAGTTTGAAGTGTTTCTGTAGTATCTGTTAATTTTGAGCTTACACAAGCAATTAAAGTGATAAAATTCTTTTTGCAGAGTGAATCTAAGTGTTAATCAGTACATAAAATTAATTAGAACTAAAACAATGAAGTTAAAAAAGTTTTATTACCTTTTAGAAGTGTTGTAATCATTGCTTGCCTATATGGGACATAGTTTTGATTGGAAGAGAGTGCATTAATTACTTGTCCAAGGCATAATAAACCTTTATTTATGTTAATTCCTTCATGAAAACAGTTTCCAGCACTTCCAGTTTTTCTTATACTTTCAGAACCAGCTAAATCGACAAAGTTAAATTTTGAACAAGTTACAGAACCTCTATCAAAAAAATAAATTATATTGCTTTTAATTTTAAGTAATTAATTATATACCCATTTGAGATTTTACAATATAATGTATAAATAGCATGAGATCTTGAGCTTTTAGAGTTCTGTAAAGTACCCCCAGTTCTCCTATTTTTACTTGCTATTGAGAATAACTGTTGAGCTTCAGCTAAATCATAAACAGGAACTCTTTTTAAATCAGGTACTTGAAAGCCTTTCACAGATAAAGCAACTTTATGGTCGTCTAGTAAATCAAAAACTTTTTCATTGTATATTTCGTAAAGTGAAACTTCAGTGTAGATTTCCATCTCATTGTTGATTTGTTGGAAAATCTCTTTAAAAGTCCTATTTATCATACCCATATTTTCTTCATCCATTTGTGGATAACCCATAGTGTAAGTTTTACCAGTTCCAGTTTGTCCATAAGCAAAAACAGTGCAGTCAAAGCCTTTTAATAACTTATCAATCATGGGTCTGACTATTTCATTGAAAACATCAATTTGACTGGAATCACCATCAAATATGTGGTCTAAATTAAAATGTTGTCGGTCGGATACAGTTAAAATCTATATTAAAATATTAAATAATTAAATTTTGTTAGGTTAAATTTAAAAAAAAGTGTAGTTACTGGTGGATTATTTGATATCACTTTTAAATTGCATCCATTTGCTGAATCTTGAATTGATTGTGGTCGAATCCTTACTGCCACATTCACAAATTCTAAAGTATTGTCCATTGTTGTTATTTATGACCAGTAATTTTAAATTTAATACTTGTTTTTTTGATTTACGTTTAATGCTTTAAACGGCGTGTAAATACACATAAATACTGGACAAATGCGCAATCTATCTGCGCAGCTTTCAAATGTTTGAAAACAAACAATTAATTTAAATTGTTGCTTTATTCTTGGTTTAAAATGTTTCAAAAAACTTTATTTAAATTTATAATTTGATTTGTTCCTCTTTATACTGAGTAGTGAATCAAGATAAAGAAAGCCAATTTAAAGTTCCAACGAAAATAATCGAATTAATATTCGGCTATTCTCGACAGCTATACAGCGCAGGCAAACCAACATCAAACGTGGTTGGTAACAGTTGGTAACAGTTGATAAACAGCAGACATTTTAGCAAACCCAAAATCTGTTCAATAGCAAACAGTGTTTGTTGTTTTTGTATAATCATTTAAATTCGAATTCGGCTAAAAAATGGCAGAATCCCGTAACTATTCATTTAATGGTCTAGTATATACTATAGTTGAACACCAATCGATTCATGAAAAGTTAACTGGTATGTACCCTACTAGCAAAATGCTTTATAATTTTAAAATTATATAAAATTTTTCTATTTTATTGTTAATTTATTATTGCATTTGAAACGAATTTGCTTTATTAATGCTGCACCGATGATAGTTTTACTTCTGACAACTGAACTGATTTATTATTATATTTATTATACAGGTGTGTATAAATTGGCGGGAAAACTATACGTGACGATATTCTTCGTTTGATTCTGAAGTGAAAATCGTAATGCAAAAATGTTGTACCTTGCTTCGTACCTGTTCACGAGGTTCTCAAACGTCGGACAATTAGTTCATAAATAATCATTAATATTGAAAATCTGTTGATGGAAATAGCTGCAATTTAGTATAAAAAGAACTTTCTCCACGACTACCTTACAATATATACCTTATGAATGAGTTTTCTAAAACAAAATGGTAGTTATTTTTCACGGAGTGAATAATAGCGGTGAATAATAATCATTATCCACGGGTAGCCATCTTGACCAGACTAATAATAATTATTTGAAACGTTAAAAGTTCAAAAAACGTCAATTTAATTCAATTTTTTAGGAGTTTCTAAATGTTTGACATTAAAAAAACCTAAACAAATTCCTTTTTTCGTATGATTTAAGCATAAATTAATTAATTTTCGTAAAGAAAACGACGTTTTATAAAACTGACACTTAATTTTGACAAATTGTTGTGAAGTTGGTTACAGTTAGTAACATTGAATTTGTGTCACATTGACGTTTAACCTTTATTCAAAAATTTATTTAAAAAATAAATTTATGGAATCAATTTCAATAGTCGTGGACAAAGTATAGTATTCTACTCGCATATAATGAGCTATTATTCACTCAGGTTAATTATGCCACTCGCTACGCTCGTGAAATAAACTGAACTTTCGTGAATAATAGCCCTCATTATATGCTCATATAATAATATACTATTGTCCACAACTACCTTAATATATACCTTATGAATGAGTTTTCTAAAACAAAATGGTAGTCATTTTTCACGGAGTGAATAATAGCGGTGAATAATAATCATTATTGATCATTCAGGGGCATTCACGGGTAACCAACTTGACAGACTAATAATAATTATTTGAAACGTTAAAATTTTACGTTTCACGTCAATTTAATTCAATTTTTTAGGAGTTTCTAAATGTTTGACATTAAAAAAACCTAAACAAATTCGTTTTTTCGTATGATTTAAGCATAAATTAATTAATTTTCCTAAAGAAAACGACGTTTTATAAAACTGACATTTAATTTTGACAAATTGTTGTGAAGTTGGTTACAGTTAGTAACATTGAATTTGTGTCACATTGACGTTTAACTTATTTTCAAAAATGTATTTAAAAAATAAATTTATGGAATCAATTTCAATAGTTGTGGACAAAGTATAGTATTCTACACGTATATAATGAGGTATTATTCACTCAGGTTAATTAGGCCACTCGCTACGCTCGTGACATAAACTTAACTTTCGTGAATAGTAGCCCTCATTATATGCTCATATAATAATATACTATTGTCCACAACCATATAAGTATAATATAAATATTTTCTATGGTCGAACACTACCTTATAATATATACCAGGTATTACCACATATTTTTCACGGAGTGAATAATAGCGGTGACCCATTATACTGGTAGTCAACTTGACAGACTAATAATTATTATTTGAAACGTCAAAATTTCAAAAAACGTCAATTTATTCAATTTTTTAGGACTTTCTAAAGGTTTGACATTAAAAAAAAATAAACTAATTTTTTTGTTCAATTTTACCTTCGAAATTGTTAGTTTCTAGCTTGGATACTAGTGTTGAAAGTTGTTATTTGCATTCACTCTGCTGACTTTCATAGAAACGAGTGAGTGAAAATTTTTTTCAACCACTATTAGCTAAATATAAAACCTTTTTCGAAAACTGCTATTAAAAGTTGACTTTTGCGTAGTACTTAGCGACCGTCAAAACGATAGTTTTTTGTCAATAGGAAACATAATTACTGTACGAGTGTGGAGAATTGCACGACGAGGTCGTAGACCGAGTCGTGTAATCACACGAGTTGTATTATGGTGCTCGTTACAATGAATTAAGTCTGTTCTGATTGGGCTAAAAATGCGTTACGTAATGAAACCAGTGCGGTAATGAACTTCATTACGCNTGGACAAAGTATAGTATTCTACTCGCATATAATGAGCTATTATTCACTCACATTAATTATGCCACTCGCTACGCTCGTGACATAAACTTAACCTTCGTGAATAATAGCCCTCATTATATGCTCATATAATAATATACTATTATGGAATCAATTTCAATTTCAATAGTCGTGGACAAAGTATAGTATTCTACTCGTATATAATGAGCTATTATTTACGAAAGTTAAGTTTATGTCACGAGCGTAGCGAGTGGCATAATTAACCTGAGTGAATAATAGCCCTCATTATATGCTCATATAATAATATACTATTGTCCACGACCATATAAGTATAATATAAATATTTTCTATGGTCCACGACTACCTTATAATATATACCACGTATTACCACATATTTTTCACGGAGTGAATAATAGCGGTGAATAATAACCAATATACTGGTAGTCAACTTGACAGACTAATGATTATTATTTGAAACGTCAAAATTTCAAAAAACATCAATTTATTCAATTTTTTAGGACTTTCTAAAGGTTTGACATTAAAAAAACCTAAACAAATTCTTGTGTTCAATTCTACTTTCGAAATTGTTAGTTTCTAGCTTGGATACTAGTGTTGAAAGTTTTTATTTGCATTCACTCTGCTGACTTCCATAGAAACGAGTGAGTGAAAATTTTTTTCAACCAGTATTAGCTAAATATAAAACCTTTTTCAAAAACTGCTATTAAAAGTTGACTTTTGCGTAGTACTTAGCGACCGTCAAAACGATAGTTTTTGTCAACAGGACGTAATAGTTATTTATATTACAAGTGGACTAGAAACATAATTACTGTACGAGTGTGGAGAATTGCACGACGAGGTCGTAGACCGAATCGTGTAATCACACGAGTACTCTAATTATGCTCTAGCCCACGTGTGATATACAGCATTTTATCTACGACTAAAAATATTTTGAAATGATTGTTGACAATTTTGAATTGTCAGTTTCAACAACATGTTTACTCATCTGGAATAAGTGTTTCGAAATGTAAAAACATAACAATTAATGTTTATAATAAATAGTGTTGTTTCTCTGGAAGTAGATAGCACTTTTTCTTTTGTATTGTTGCTCGTTTCAATAAATTAAGTCTGGTCTGATTGGGCTAAAAATGCGTTACGTAATGAAACCAGTGCGGTAATGAACTTCATTACGCAACTCAAATCACCTCAAATGAGTGTGGTAATGATGACTTATCCAAGGAGTCGTATATAATAGTAGATGCATTTAATAAAAG